GGATACAGCCCAAAAGGGAGGCATACCTTACGTTGCTTGTCTATGCGATCACCTTTCACAATTCATGGAGATGATGGGACACCGCTTGAAGCTGTCCCGTTATACGATACTTTTCTGCCCTGCCCCACCCCTATTTCTCTTTCTTCTTTCTCTGAATATACCATTCCGCATTCCCAGGAACACTTTTTTCTTGCTCATTTCATCCTCACGGGGCCACAAAAAAGTTTTGAAAAGGTCGAAAATACACACGGGGGAGGATATCGGGGATATGCGTGCTGGATCAATGTGCTTATCTATCCCCCTGAAAACATTTTGTTCGAACTGGATCTTTCAAGGAGGTTGTTTCGTTTCTTTTCTTTTCTTTTCTTGTTTTCTTTTACGGAGGGGAAGCAAGATGGGACGATTTTGCTGGAGAGGTTTTTTGTCTGTTTCACAAGGTACGTGCTCTGTTTAACCTCTTCCATAGCATGTTCCTGCTTTTTTAGTTCATTTCCCCCCTTTGTTACATTCGAATATGGGCAAGGCTCTGTTAGGCGACAAGTGGCAAGATGAGGAGGAGACGAAGAAGAAAAAATTGAGAATTTTTCTGTTCCATTGTTCTTTTTTTGTAGTATGAATGAATCGTGCTGTAATTATGTCATGATCATCATCGCTCATCCGAAGCAACTGCTACTTAGTTGCTGGATGAGATGGGACTATCTGATCGTGTAGGTTCATAAGTTGTCGGTTGCGGACATGCGTCAACCGACTGAATATGTACAATTAATAGATGGAATGGATATATGGTCGTCTACATCTGGGCAGCCTGCCTCTCGGCGATCAGAGCCTGGATACCCCGGTCCACACCCTCCTGCAAAGTCCAGAGCGGCTCGTATTTCAAGACCCTCTTGGCCTTGGAGATGTTGTAGAAGCGGGTCATGGTAGTCATGGTCACCTTGAGCTGGGTGAAGGTGGGCGTCCGGCCGAGGATGGAGGCGAAGATCTCGCTCAGCACGCCGAAGAAGTAGCCAATCTCCTTGCCCATGTGCCAGGTGCCCTTGGTTCCCGACCGGTCGCCCGAGGCGTAGTAGACGGCGCGGGCAAAGTCCCAGAAGTAGACGGGGCTGTCGTTGGTGATGATGAAGGCCTCGCCATCGACCTTCTCGTGGTCGAGGGGCGCGGTTGCCGCCTTGGCGGTGGCGATGAGGCGGTGGGCGGCGAGCAGGTGGGCGTGGGCGACGTTCCCGACGTAGGTGAAGTCGAAGAGGTTCGTGTTGTCGCCGATCTGGACCTTGTGCTTTCTGGTCTCGTAGGCCTTGTGGAAGCCGGGGAGAGTCTGGGCGTCGCCCTCGCCGAAGATGCCTGCGGGGCGGATGGAGGCTGTGAGGAGGCTATAGGGCTCCTGTCGGTTGGCGTTGAGGACGATCTCTTCTGCGGCAGCCTATGTGTGTAGAGAATGGGTTAGCTTGAGTTCTTGTAACATTGTGATACGGCCGGAACTGACCTTGGTCTCTGTGTAGTATTCAGACTGCTGATCGCCGCGGATGACTGGCCAACGCTCATCGGCGTTCCACAGAGGGTTGACTCCGTCGCTCAGAACACTGGCAGAGCTGGTGTAGACGAGAGCCTTGACGCCGGCCTTCTGGCAGGCCTCGACGACGGAGGCGGTACCGTCAATGTTCACCTTCTTGAAGAGCTCCTTGGCCAGGGTGTGGTTGGCGGCAATGGGGGAAGCGGTGTGGATGAGGATATCTGGCTTCAGCTCCTCGAGGATGGACTGCAGGCGCTCGGAATCGGTAATGTCGCACTCGCGGTACTCAGCGCCGGGGTTGCGGTTCCTCTCGCATCGCAGGTCGACTGAGGCCACGAAGGAGGTGGTCCATGAGGGGCCGAGGAGCTGATTGACGATGTGGTGGCCCAGGAAGCCATTGCCGCCGACAACGACGACGCGGCCGAGGTCTCCTCTAGGTTTCTCGGACATTGCGAGTGTGGGTAGCGTCAATTAGAGGTGATCAATTGCAAATCGTCGTTTGTCCCGCAGCACTGGACAGAAAGAGAAGAACAGATGTATAGACACGCTCACCACGTCGAGGAGGACAGGGAAAGATAGGGGACCCACCCTAATTTATCGATATCGATACTTTATGTTGACACCTGCGCGGCTCCTTGTGCAATTAAGTTTGCATCCGTTATCCAACCGACAGATACTAACTGAATAAGTGCCTGATCTGCTCGCTACTTCCGACTATGACATCTAATTGAGCAGAGAAAATGGCAGTTGAATACTTAACTTCCGGTATGCAGTACGAATGCGACTGCCTTCTCTGCCAAGCGGACACGAGTACGACGGTGCGGAGACTTGCCTTACCTGGACATCTGAGTCTCGGGCGGAAATACTTGGGCCAGAAGATCTCAAGATCAATTATCATGATACATCAAAACAATAAGAGCTCATAGCAGTGATCCATCGTACCGTCGAATGATAATACCGGACAAAAAAGAAACCAAAAAGCAAAAGTAAATGTCCTCAGTGAGGTTCGAACTCACGACCTTCGGATTACACACTCTGATGAGTGATCACACATAGGGATGTATGAGACCGACGCTTTAACCTACTAAGCCATGAAGACAGGTGGTTGATGACCGCAGGTCTCCTAGCCAAGTTTACAAAGCAGAGTGACGGAGAAGCCGTCACGGACCCGAAGCGGCTCACCAGGTAGGTGGATTCTACCTGCAGCTGATGCCTCCACATGCATGCATCCGCAACCACTACTTGCCTGATTCAGTGCCATATTGGATGCATGCCAGCTTGTACGCTGATGTTTGTTGGTGAATATTGAACTGTGCTGCCTGCCACTGGACCACGCCAACAAAGCCATTCCTTCTAGCCAACCCTTTGTATTTAAAGAGCCATGTAGTACCAATTTGTGGCCCCTTCGCAAGCCCTTTGAGACCCTCCTTCCCCCACACCGATCACTCAACCGCGACTTCCCTCTAGTCAGATTTTAAGATTCGCGTGCACTTTCTCACGCCCTCCCCTCCTGATACTTGTGCCCCCCAGCATGGTATGATCATGGTTTCTACCAGGCGTTCGAGGAGTCCCGGAAATGGCTCCAGATCCTCCAGATGTTGAAATCCTGGTCCACGTCACGGCGCCCAGCCGCGTCGTTGACGATGCCACGTACCGCCAGCTTGCCCAGGCGTACCTGGACTTTGAACCGCAAGCAACTATCCAAATTGAAGACACAGGGAGCCACACCAGCGATTCAGATATCGCAGATGACCGCGAGGATGCTGGCACAAATGATATGCCCCCTGCTCCAACTGCAACCTCTACGCCACCAGCTTCTCTAGAATTAAGCTTTCAGAGCGTCCTGGACAACCGCGCATCGCCACAGCTACGGGCCGTGAATCGCGAAGATGGTCGCCAAATAGTAATACCTTCGTCTCATCCTGAGATCCCCGAGAGCCAGTCCTCTTGGATAGCCCCTCCAAGCCAGATCAACGACTCCTATCCTCTTCCAAATACTTCACGGATGTTTGTGTCGCCAACGCGTGCTTTGCAGCGATATTTGGCGCGGTCCTCCTCCCAACCAGAAACATCACCAACTCGTTCAAAGGGACCACCACAAGGGTCAAATACGGGCGAGATCCCATCATCCCTACCCTTGTCCGTCTCTGGGAGCCATGTCGTAATACCCTCCTCGGAAGCATATCCCTCGGACCCTCAAGCCATCATCCCAGTCACTCCGATCGCATCTAAGCCAGATAAAAGAGAATCTGTGTCCAATGACGATTGTGGGGAGGGTGCCACTGAGAGCTTGGATATAACACACATCTCAAGCAGCGATATCAGTCTTGCACCCACTGCTTCCTTCACCAGGGCAGAATCAGCGCCACCACAGTCCAAAAGACTCAAGACGCTTGCTCAGGGCAAACCCCTTGCTCGCAGCTCTAGCGACACTGGGGTCCGGCAACCGGTAGGCCTCTCCCCTAGCCCTCTAGCGCTCGAGATTTGGTCACCTTCGCCACCTGTCGGCGTAGACGATCTGGAACTCCCCATCGCGGTCCCGGAGAGGCTGGCGAAGCTCGCTGCTGACTTGTCTTCCCGGTACCGGCCAGAGGCTGATAGGGACATCACGCCCCTTGAACGAGGCTACTGGCTTGTGGACTGTAGTTCTTGGTCTCGAGATGTCCGCCTTGATCTTTGGAACTTCCTCATCCCTTATATTGAGGGCGGCCTCGCAGGGTGGGGAGTGTGGTGTCGCCGAGACGCCGCTCTCGATGAGGTTCGCCTCTACTGTTGGGGATCGCTTGTGAAGCACGCATATCTGCTTCTGTATCTTGCAAGTGGTAGGCACCTCAAGTATACAGGGGCCGTTTGGAAAGATGCCGAGGCGAAACCGGTACTGCGGGTGCTTCCTTACTTGAAACAAAGCTGAAGTATCTATCACCACTGTAATTGGTCGTTACGGGGGAATATATTATGACTTTTATGACACCATCAGTATATACAGCATTGTACTTATTACGAGATATGGGAATGATTGGGACCGAATGGGTTACAAGAAGCGAAACCTGGCGTATGTGGAAATGGGCATTTTACTTGACCAAAGGCACGATCACGAAAGCATGGATGTGTACTACAAAGGGTCATAACTTAGGCCAGACTACTTGAATCTCTGTTGAAATCGAAGGCGGGGTGAAACTTCGAACTGAATAAAAAAAAATCATGATCTACCTAGAATTGCGATATCATACAGAACCCATCCCCTTCCCTCCAGCCATGACATAGAAAAGAAACCCATTCATTAATCTCCGAAGCAGGTCATCGTCCAAAACGAATGAATGAAAGAGAAAGCCAACCGAAAGAACCCCTTTCTCCAAACCTTGAGTATTGAATTATACATGAGTCAAGATGTACAATTCATCGCCGCTATGTGTAGTAGTGAATACCTATACATGTAGCAGTCTGCCATCAGGTGTGAGGGCAAGTAGTGGTATCACCTTACGGTCCCTATTTATTTGGCGGAAGCAGATTTCCTCAACTCGTCGATCCTGTCTTGGAAGCCCGCGTTCTCCTCTTGGAATCGCTTCATCTCCTCTTGATACTCCTTCACGTAGGGAGCCTTCTCCTCGTCGCTCATGGCCTTCCAGCGCGCAGAGGCACCTTCAAACCGATTTCTCGGCTCAGCCTTGGGTGCTCCCGGGTCGAGAGAATTGAAATAAGACACGAAGAACCTGACGAAGGCGCTCGTTGGTCGCTTGGCCTTTCTCTCATCATGGAGTCTGGGGGCCTTCTTATTGTACTTGCGTTGCAGAAGGAGGCGGGCCTGGTTCGCAAGGTGAATCTCCTCGATCGAGTGGGACTCGATCCATTCCTTGCGCTGCTTCTTCCTCTGGACTGCCTCAACCTCGGCCTGGGACTTGTATCGCTAATTGGTTCGAAAAGAGCAAGTCAGCAATTGAGGATCGCATGTTACATGAACAAATCACGATGGCACTCCCCGGAGACAACAGTCTGGTTATGCTAGAGCCGGAATAAGAACGTACCTCCTTATCATAATCAGAGAGCGCATTCCACTTGTCGCGCAGGTCGCGCATTTTGTCCGTTATGTTGGCGCCGTCATCGAGCTTTTGGCCGGTGAACTGCTCGCCAACGTAGATGGCCCAGCCGCTGCCATTGCCGGCAGCTGGCTCCTGGTTCCACAGCGCTTGCTTCTTCCACTTCTTGATGTCCGCCTTCTCGGCCTCCTCTGGGGTGAGCTCCTTCTTCTTCCTGACAACCTTCTTCTTGGCGACGGGCTTCTTAGCAGCAGGCTTCTTGGCGGCCTTCTTCTTGGGCTTCTCTGAAGCAGCCTTTTTGGCGGCGGTCTTGGTGGTCGCCTTCTTAGTGGTGGCGGTGGTGGTCTTCTTGGCTGTTGTGGGACGGCGGGTTGCGGCCAGGAGAGGCGATCGGTAGACGGAGAAGCTGCGCACAGCGATTGGGCGAATGGCCAGGGCCGAAAATCTGGTGGTCAGACTGCTGGAGCCGGTCAGGTACGAGGTCGCTGTGCGGCGGGCGACCGCCTTTGCCGTGAGTGTAAGCATCACCGCGGCGGGATGAAAGGGAAGAATGTTTCCCTTGACGTCTGGCGGCAGGGCTGTTCGTAGTTTGCAATCAGCAATTGGGTCGTAGGCTTTCAGCGACAAGCCTGTTATCTCCAAGGGAAGAAGGGCGATCTGCGCACCGGGGAGGAGGTGGGAGAACTTTGATGCATGCCCGCGTGCGTCGACAGGGATGATCGAGCTTGCCTTGTAGCAGCATGAATTGAAGTACCTAATACTTAGCGTTTGCACCGTTGTCCCACCAGTTCCGGCGTATCCTGGACCATCTCGAGCTTCGAAGCTCAGACCTGGGCCAATCACTGGGTGATGTCAGCTTATGTAACGACTTCACGTCACCCACCACCACTTGCCTTGACACAGTAGCTCTGGCAGGCTACCACAGGCACGCGGCAGTGCGGTACAGTGGGTAGCCTTTCGAGCTGGAGCAGCTTCCCCATCGCCGCCAGCTTCAACCTCGCACCAAGTTATCACATCGATACCGCCTCACCCATCACCTTCCCCCGGCCTGCGACATCAACAGAGGTTTTCAAATCTCCATTGATTCATAGATCCAGCAGTCGCACCTCGGGAATCTGATTCCCCCGCTTGAGCTCCGCTATCCAACACCACATTCAAACCACCACACATCATGGACCACCGCCCAATGGCCTGGGGTCGTGTAAGTTGCCTCCCTCAAAACGATCAATCTATCTGAGCTCCGAGTACTAACGTATTTGGATCGTCTATAGCCCAGAGACGATGTTTACGGGTCCTACGATGCGTCTTATGTCCGGCCCAATGACCCTACCCAACACACCCAGCAGCCCATCGTCACTGGAACATCCGTACTAGCTATCAAGTTCAAGGAGGGTGTTGTCATTGCTGCCGATAACTTGGGTACGTTGCTCCTCTGATGCTACATTCAATGCCCTTCTTTTCGTCACTCCAAAGTAGCTAACCCGATTGCCCCTCCAAACAGCATCCTATGGCTCCCTCGCCCGCTTCACCGACGTCAAGCGTCTACGCACCTTTTCAGGCACCTCCGTGGTCGGTTTCGGCGGCGACGTCTCCGACATGCAGTACCTCAACCGCCACCTCACCGACCTCACCCTCAGCGAGAACTACTCCAGCCCGGACGAGCCCCGCCTCTCCGCCGCCAACCTCCACCGCTACCTCTCCAAGCTCATGTACAGGCGCCGGTCCAAGTTCGACCCCCTCTGGAACCACATCCTCGTCGCCGGCCTCGACGACGAGGACAAGCCCTTCCTCGCCGCCACCGACCTCCTCGGCACGACCTACAGCGCCCCCAGCCTGGCCACCGGCTACGGCTCCATGCTCGCCCAGCCCATCATGCGCCGCCATGCCCCCGACGAGGAGTCGGCCGCCGAGCTGTCCCGGGAGACCGCCATCGAGGTCATCCAGGAGTGCATGAAGGTCCTCTTCTACCGTGACGCCAGGAGCATGGACCGCTACTCCATCGCCGTCATCACCAAGGACGGCGTCGACCTGAAGGAGGACGAGAAGCTGGAGGGCCAGAGCTGGGCTTTTGCTGATAGAATTAAGGGATACGGAACCCAGACGGTTTAGATAAATGGAAATTCGATAATGGCACTTGAACTTTTTTTTTCCTGATCCTAAAACGCTATCACTGATTATGGGGGAGCTTTGAGTCTGAGGTACTAAGATGCCGCCGTACGGCGAGAGATGATTGTTAAATGGGTCAGTTCTCCCGAACTCAGATAGCGGGTTAGTCATAGCGAGAACCTTCCACACCCAAAAGAAATAGACAGGATTGTGTCAATCCTCCAAGAGTAACTGGAATGATCTAAGGATTCGAACTATATAGGTAGTTCAACCACTACATAGATGGCTCACAAGAAAGTTCAGTCCTTTTTGTTCTTTGGTGTCATATGTCGTCTTCACATTCGTAGACCTAAATCTAGAGACTATCTTGGCCAAAATAGCTATGAACGTATTTCCTTGCTTTCAAATACCAACCAAAAACTCGGGATTACACCCAAGATACCCGCCAAGTGTCAACAGATTTCGTAAAAGCCAAATTCCGCATTTCGTATTATTACCAATTTTAAGATTGCACCATTCATCATTTGCCTCCTATGGGCGGAGAAAACACACGTAGAGTCTAACACTTCCCTTTCCTTTTTCCTAATAAGACAAGAAAGGCTCGGCCTAAACCTGCCTGTCGTCCTGACCAGCAGCTTACTCGACAGTGACCGACTTGGCCAAGTTTCGGGGGAAGTCAACGTTCAGACCCTCGAGAACAGCGAGCCAGTAGGCAATGAGCTGCAGAGGGATGACGTTGAGGAGACCCTGGAGGACATCGACGGTCTTGGGGATCTCGATCTTCTCGGCCTCGGAGGACTTGAACTCCTCGTCATCAGGGTTGCAGATGACAATGGGCTTGCCACCACGAGCAATGACTATAAAAATTGTTAGCATTCGTTTCTTTTGTACAGGAGATCAGGCAATTGATATAAACTTACCCTGCTGGAAGGCGTTGAGAGACTTCTTGAAGAGAGGATCACGGGTAAGGATCATGATTATGGGGAGGTTCTCATCGACGAGAGCAAGAACACCGTGCTTCAGCTCACCAGACATGACAGCCTCGCAGTGAAGGTAGGAGATTTCCTTGATCTTAAGAGCACCCTCCAGGGCAGTGGAGAACTGGCTACCACGTCCGAGCAGGAGCAGGGACTTCTGGTTCTGGAAGGTCTTCTTGCACAGCTCCTTGATGGCAGAGTCCTGCTCGAGAATCTGCTTGATCTGGCTGGAGATGTTGGAGAGACCCTCCATGATCTCCTCGCGGCGAGCCTTCTTGGAGGCACGGTCCTCGCTCAGGGACAGAGCGAACATGACCATGGCAATGAACTGGGAAGTGTAGGCCTTGGTGGAGGCGACACCGATCTCAGGGCCGGCGTTGACGTGGACACCGCAGTGGGTGAGGAGAGAGATGGAGGAACCGACAACGTTGACGATACCAACGGTCAGGGCACCACGCTCCAAGCAGTAGCGGAGAGCCAGGAGAGAATCAGCGGTCTCACCGGACTGAGAAACGAAGACGCAGGTGTCATCACGGAAGACAGGTGCCTCACGGTCAAGGAAATCGGAGGCCAGCTCGACGGAAATGGGGATCTCAGCGAGCTCCTCAAAGACACCACGGACAGCCATGCAAGAGTGGTAACTGGTACCGCAAGCAATGAAGATGATTCTTCTGCAGCGGCGGATTGTGGCGAGGTATGAGCGGAGACCACCGAGGGTGACGGTCTTGTTGGGGTTGTCGAGACGACCACGCATGGTGTTGACGACGGACTCGGGCTGCTCGAAAATCTCCTTCTGCATGAAGTGGTCGAACTTGCCCTTCATGATCTCCTGGAGCTCAAGCTCGAGGGTCTGGATAGATCGCACGTTGGAGCTTCCATCAGCCTTCTTGAGACGGTGGATGTTCAACGAGCCCTCGTGGATGTGAGCAATATCGTCATCCTCGAGGTACATAACCTTCTTGGTGTGCTCGACAATAGCCGAGGGGTCGGAAGAGAGGAAGAACTCTGTGGGCATGGGCATGCCGTCATCGGTCATAAAGGCACGAGACTGGGAGCGGTGGAGCAGAGACTTGTCGGGGGCTCCGAGAAGAGTGTTGGAGGGAGTCAGGAGATCAGCACCCTTCTTGAGAGCAGCGTTCTGTGCGGCCGCCTCAGCGGGGAGGGCAGTCTTGTCGTCAGAGTACTCGACATCGACGAAGTCAACCTTCATGCGGCGCTGGGTCTTGACACCAATGACGAGAGGAGAACCCTTACGGGCGGCAATGACCTCGTGGGGGTAGTGGACAGACTTGATCAGAAGACCGTAAGCACCCTCGAGCTCAGAGATGACAGCCTTGGCCAGGTCGGTGAAGCCAATGTTGGGGTGCTGGTCATGGAGGTACTTGGTGAGCTTGGCGATACACTCGGTATCGGTCTCAGTCTCGAATCGGAAGCCCTTGCTCTCAAGGAGAGTCTTCAGCTCCTTGTAGTTGGTAATAATACCATTGTGGACGACAGTGAACTCCCAGGTGGGGTCAGAGCTGTCCGAAAGCATACAGATTAGCCACTACTCTTGCTAGCTCGAGGGACGGCGAACGAAGCGATCGCTGGATGAAGCGCTGGGAAAGTTTAAAACTCACCGGTGGGGGTGGCAGTTGACGGTAGAAGGAGGACCGTGGGTAGCCCATCGGGTGTGAGCGATACCGGCGTGGGAATCAAAAACCTTCTCCAAGTCGATGTCGGACTCGTCAATAAGCTTTTTGAGCTTAGCGACCTTGCCGACCTCCTTGAATGCAAGCACCTCCTTCTTCTTGTCGCCATCGACAGCTAGACCAGCGGAATCATAGCCACGGTATTCGAGACGGGACAGACCTGCAAAGGAGAAGGGAAATTCCAGTCAGCCGGGTGTTCTCTGCATGCAATGGTGTCTCGGGAGATGATTCAGCTGGGAATATGGACGGGGGGGCTTACCGTTGACAAGAGTGTCGAGGATGAACTTGCGGTCCTTCTCGACCAAATAGTTGATGTAACCGAAAATTCCACTAAATTTCAGTCAGTCCGGAGCTACACAATGCCAATTGGGCTTGAACCGAGCCTGTGCGCCTCGCTGCTGGGCCAGAGCGGCGGTGGCAAGCAGCGAGAACAGCACGGCGGCGGGGCAGAGGCGGTGACGAGATCTGAGGGGAGGTCCTTACCACATGTTGTATAGCTGTCAGACAGAACCAAAAAGCGTACAACGAGCGAGGAAATGAGGAGAAACGCTAGAGAAGAAGAACTTGGGGGGTATCACGGAGGTTCGTTTGAGGAGATGGAGAGAAACAGGGTGCTTGGTCGAGGGGGGAGGGATGAAATAGATAATGAAAGGGGAGAGGAGGGGAAGGAGGTCAGAAGCTTGATGGATGGCCAGAAGGCGCCGTTATGTACAGTTGAGGTACGGAGTAACGTGTACTTAATCAACAATACGTAGGTACCTTCTGGAAAGTCCTGGGCTAGTGGACCGTGGACGGCCATCAGACTTGAGGCTTGCTTTTGGGCTCAGCTCAGCTTTACCTATGTGGAGGTCAGCATAGTCCCCGGCCTGGGCTGGGCTGGACGGGACTGGCTGCTTCCAGGCTCCTGGTTGCTATCGGCTGCAGCTTCGCTCAGGCCCAATGGCGACGGCGGGAAAAGCTCTGCTGTGGTAAGGTACATGTTTGCTAGCGGCGGCTGGTGACTGGCCCACGCCAGAAACGTGCTGCCCTCGTACTGTACCGCGAGACCTGAGAGCTAGTCAATGGGCGGTATGGATGGTGTGGTGGGGGCAGAGCTGCCCGCTTCTGTGATGTGGTGGCAAGGGGACTGATTGTGCTTCAATTGCATACGAGGAGGGGAAGGGGTTGGAGGGGCGGTCGGGGAGGACGAGAGGGGCGCAGCCAACT